GAAACATATTTACTAATGCTAGTAAAATGGATGCCTTTTATTAGCAGAAAGCTAAATGCACAATTATTATCCTTGCCAAATAAAATCCAGCTTTTTCATGCTTAAATTTATGAACAGTCTTGGAAGCAATCCATTATTTGGCACATTTGAACAATATTCAATAGAGATATTAATCACTTACCATGATGTGATTCTAAAATTAATTCATAGAATAAATATTGTATTTCATTCCATTGAATCAAAATAACTTGATTTTATATATACGATCCCTTTTTGCACTATACAATAGAGAATAATATGTAGTTTTTAAAATCATTCTATCTACTTTGTTTAAAAAACATTTTAGACTTTTAAATAATTTTCACATTAGATTGTATGTTTGGGGATTTTTATTGAAAAATTTAAAACAAGTATCACTAAGTGACATTGTCTGGTCCATATTCAAATTTTGTCATTGATCAGGTGCTTCAGGATTGGTAAGATAAAACATCAAGATACTGTCAAGATATCTAAATAACTCATTTTGATTCTCAGTCATTTGGGAACAGCATTTAGAATTTATACATGCATTGAAAAACTTACTCTAATATTGCCAAGGTCTAGATATATATAGACAAGTAAATTATCCAAATGTATGAATCTCTTTGCTGATTAAATTATATATGTGAACAAAATATTATCTTGCTCATGGTTTATTAAATCTGCATTTATCAAGACTCTTCAATGTGCCAATCATTAGAATACTTAGCCAAATCAATGTTTGCTGACTAGGAAATGGCAAGCCATGGGTAAGACAATGAAAACAAATAACCAAAATACAAGGTCATAAATATTACAATGAGGTGTGCAAAGGAGTACTGGGAGTGGCACGAGTACTCTGAGGAAGGAAAAACTATCAACTTGAGTTGCAAAAAGGCTTTATGAGCAACTCATGTCTGAGTTAGATCTTGAAAGAGCTGTAGAATTTCCTTGGATTTAAGATAGAAGGACAAACGAAAGTTTGGCATGATTAGGCACTATCAAATCGTTTTGTGTGGGCTGCGCAGGGTGTGTGTGTAACAATACTGCAACATGGTTAAGAACACACAGTGTGCAATCAGCTGGCCTGAGTTAATCCCTCTATCCTGCCACACCCTAAGCAAGGTTTTTGTTGGTCAACATCCATATGCCTCATTTTTCTAATATGTAAAATGAGGATGAGTTCCAAATCTTAGGATTATTCTGAGGTTTAAATGAACAAATACACGTAAAATGTTTAGTGCAATTCCTAGAACATTTTAAGGGTTCAATAAATATTTGCTAATGATGATACTAGTACTACAACTAATAATAATCAATCCCATAGACGTTAGAGGAACTGAGGCTAGAAGAATTGATGGGAGCTGGGTGGTGAAGGTGTTCAGCTGCCGGAGATTGAGGGGGTCAAGCAGGACAAAGAGGCAAACTTAAAGTAACAATCAAGCCTCATTCACTTACTGGGAGAACAGAGGAGAAAGGCTCCCCAGTGTTCCATATTTCCCCATAGAATGGCACTGGGTGAGAATCAGGCAATTTCAAAGATTTGCCTGGCAAGACTCATGGGGAAAGGTGCCTTGCCACGTTAGATGTGGTGCACAGCCAAAGCACTGGAACTTTCTAGAGGGAGTTGCAATCAGGAACTCAGGCCCAGGAGCTTCCATTTGGAAAGCTCCTTATTGGGGGCCTGGGTTGAGGCACTTTTCCTAACTCTTGACTCAGTAATAGCACAGGTGGGGGAATCATGTCAGCACTGAGGAGTTCCCAATGAAAGTCTCCTGCCTATCACAGACTCTGGAGGCTGGGGGTAGAAAGTGGAAGAAAGAAAGGGATAGAAGTTGAAAATTACTGAGTCAAGAGTTAAGAAAAGTGCCTCGACCCAGGCCCCCAATAAGGAGCTTTCCAAATGGAAGCTCCTGGGCCTGAGTTCCTGATTGCAACTCCCTCTAGAAAGTTCCAGTGCTTTGGCTGTGCACCACATCTAACGTGGCAAGGCACCTTTCCCCATGAGTCTTGTCAGGCAAATCTTTGATGAAATTGCCTATGGTTGGGCCTGAAATATCTCATATAGGATTTTGGCCCGCAGCCAGGCTCCTCAGAAGGAACTGTGATTCTTTCCTGAGAAGTTTAGATTTGGCAGTGAAAAGGCACTTCAAACTTTAAAAGAGGGAGCGATGTGAATAGATTTGTGCTGTGGAACAGTCACTTTGGCAATGGTGTAGAAATCAGTGCCGACGGGACGTAATGTCTGGCAGGAAGTCAGAGGACCCCTGCATCAGTCCCTGAGTAAGATTTGAGTCGTGGATACTGGTGCCTTCAACTTGGATTAGGATCATGAGGCTACCGGAAAGGAAGAGAAAGTTTGAGAGTGAAACTGGTGTTTTGAAGTTATGATGCCGGTGGGATCACCAAAGTGAAAACCCTCCATAGGCAGTTAGGATACACAAATGAGCTCAGGTCAGGGGGTCCCAAGTAAAGAAACAAATGTAGGCATTGCTGATACTACAAGAGCTTCACATTAATAATGAGATGTTGAAGTTGCTATAGTTAATACTGCTAAAAATAAAATCTTCTCTTCTAAATATTTACCCAGTCTTGAATGACCCATCTAAGTGAGATATATTTAGATATATTTATTGCAAATCAAAAAAAAATCTCATATGAATTAAATAAGATGATGATCTTAGAACATTTTCAGCCTAAACATTAATCAAGAATTACTGGCTGGCACTATGGTAATTACCGTGTACATTTTCTTTATGGTAAACAATTTTCATCAGCAAGGCATATATATGTGTGTATATTTTTTTTATCTCTGCCAAACTATTTTGGTTTATTAATCCTAACCAGGACATCTTGTTTTCTTGAAAAAGAGAAACACAACTAACTCATGCATGAAACTGGAAAAACATCAATGAAATCATGCATGACAACTCTAGTGGACCCTGTTGCTACCTAAGCCAGATTGCCTTTACTGAGCTGGAAGCCCTATCATCAGCTGCTCTTAGTGTTAGATGCTAACAGTTTACAGCTGCTTCGTTTTCTGGAGCACATTTCTCTGCCACCTCATTGTGAGGTTACCCAGCTTCAGTCCCACCTCAACATGGGTGACCCACAGCCAATAATTGCCGTAAGGTTGACAAAAGGGAGACTTACACTCCAGAGCTCCCTGTGAGGCCAGGCTGAGGCTAGATTCTAGCTGAAACTGCATTTTTGCTGAGAGCCTCCCTCTGCCCTCTCCTGTTGCCTTCACCCTCTTTCTTTGGCGTGCACACGCCCAAATATCACATGCACCTGAATCTCTGTCTCAGGCTCTGTTTTGAAGACGACTGTAGACGTCATATATTGGAAGAGAAGGTCAGGTTCAGGGTGAGAGAAATAAACATTTTTTTAAAATATAGAAATACATTTTAAACAAATACTCAATGTAGGAGTTATCCCATACATTGTAGAATGTTTGGTACTAATAGTGGCTTCTGCCCACTAGATTCTAGTAGTACTCTCCAAGACATGGTAGCAAAACGTGCCTCCTGACATTGCCAAATGTTTCCTGGGTGGGGGGAAGGAGGCGGGGAATCACATCTAGTTTAGCACCACTGAGCTAAATTATTATATATGTTGTTTAAGGAGTCCAGCAATGTCAACCAAGAGGAAGTTACATGCTCCAGGAATAGAAATAGGTGATTAAACATACGTAGTTAAGAGATACTCATGAACTAAGGCATGATGTTAGAGAATTGGTTCAGATCAAAAATTTGTTCAAATCAAGAGAATGAGATCGACAAAGGAAGCTAGCTACGTTTCCTGCAGTTTCATTGAGTTGGCTTGACTCAATTCAAGGGCTAAACAGAGAGCTTCCTTGATTATGTTCAGATTGAATGAAATTAAAGCCTTTTCTTGTATTGTGGTCCAAAATTACATTGCTTCATCCATGGGCAACCGTTATAACCAAGGGAAGTGGTCAGATAGTAAGCAGTTCCATCTGCCATGTTTACGTTTTGGAGTTAAACAGCCTAGGAATAAACTTTTTTTAAACCCTTTTACCCAAAGTATCATGTAATTCCTCTTCGAGCCTTTCCACATGTGTTATCTGAAGAAGCCTGCTACAATGGTGTAGTCTCCCTGTAAAGATCTTAATCTCATCTGAATTCAAGTAGCAATTTTCTTCAGCAGAATGAGGCTCTTTGAGTTTCAGAACGGAAAGAAATAATACATTTGCTATTAATTTGTAAATTCTCTCCCCATGGCAAAGCCGAATTATAAAGGCTTAACATTTGCAGCATGATAATTTCTTACAACCAGCTATGGAAAATGGCCGACGTTACAATGAAGAACGTACATTTTCATGAATTGTTATGGCAATGGGTTGTAACAGAAAAATATCTATTTAATCAGATACTGATAAATTTCTGCCAATTAGGTGTAGCAATGCCCTCTGCATATTGCAGGAAATGCACTGAAAATCAAAGATTGGGAATGTTTTTGACTTCTATATCCTACTGAGCTAAGCGCATGTGGGCTCTCCCAAATTTCTCTAAATTGACCACTTTGAAATTTTTACTTAACTAGGTGAATCTGATCTCTTGTTGAATTTACTGTGAACTATCAAAATTCTCTATGAGAGCCATTCCCAAAAATATTTAGGGAAACATTATTTTTTAAGATTCTTTGGAGAAAGAATGTTTTGTGGTAAAAACAATTTGGAATACACTGTATCCTACACCTAAACAACTAACACCAACAGGTTTTAAAGGCTTTGAGAAGTTCTACAGTAAAGAATCTGTATTACCCTAAAACATGGCATAATACTTGGAAACTTAGACATCTGTTATTGCACAAAGACTCAAAGGATCAGGACTGGGAATGACTTAGCTGTATATCCTGGCTTAGGGTCTTCATGTGGTTGTAGTCAAGCTGTTGGCCAGGTCTGCAATCATATAAAGGCTTAAAGGGGGACAGGAAAATCTAATTCAAAGATGGCTTACTCACATGGCTGTCGGCAAGAGGGCTCAGTTCTTTACCATGTGCAGCTCTCCACAGTACTGCCTGAGTGTCCTCATAACATGGCAGCTGGCTTCCCACAGGTAAGTGATCTGAGAAAGAGAGAGCAAGCAGGAAGCCAGAGTGCTTTTTATGATCCAGTTTATGAAGTCATACATATTCACTTCCACTTTTACTCTGTTCATTAAAAGTGAATCATTAAGTCAAGTTATACTCGAAGAGTAGGTAAGTAGGAAGTATACATATACACAGATCTGTTAGACATGAATACTCTTGATTAAAACAATTAAACCTCATTCTACAATCAAGAAAATCACATTTGGTTTCAGTTGTAAGTTCAAGCTCTTGATAACATGAGCTAGTAAAATAATTTTGGGGTAGACTATTACTCTCAGATAATTCACAACCCATCCTGCATAGTTAAATGTAAATCTTGCAAAAGCAAAGGAAAACTGGTTATTAGAGGTATAGGTTACATTGGTTCTCAAAGGGGAAATGCATTCTATGTTGCTGAACATTTAAGTATGCCTTTATTATGTATCATATATACATATATGATATAGTGTATATATCATATATATGTATATATATACACATACTTTATCCTCAGAAAACATTTCTGCATATGAGTGATAGGTTTAACAAGTGCCACAATTCCTTTTTGTCCAAGGTAAATAACAAGTGGTGTGTCAATGGCCACATGAGACTGGGAAGAAATTGGTATGCACCTTAAGGATCAAGTCTGTCAGATCTATTATAGATGCAAATATTATATGTCACTCTTTTCCAGCTTTCAGGCAAATATGTGACAATGGCTCTTAGCAGAAAAGAAGATCAAGAATGATTAACTTAGTTTTTGTCTGGATCAGTTTGCTCAGTTGGGCAGAGTAGAGTAGTGATGACGGTGAAAATGCTCCCAGTTGCCGGAGAGTTGCCTTCTGTTTCACAGGCGCACTCTAGAGTTCCTGGCTAGTCATTTTTCATTTTTCAGATGTTTGCTTAGAATAATTAAGAAATGATGTGAGGGAATATAGATAGCTCAATAAAAATTGCATACCAAAACAAGTCACAACTATGGATAAAACAGAGGCATTAATTTTATATATTACTTCAAAGAGTCGATAAATTCATCACCGCATATTTTAATGTGCCTAATGTACCACCTCATACCAAAAATGTAAACAATTACTGCAAGCCCTCAGAAGGTATCCCAGAACCCCAGATTTTCATTTATTTGAACACAAATTACCGGTTTTTGTTGATGGATGTCACACATTAAGCTTTAAGTCTAATATCATTTTTGAAATAACACACACCCAGTTTTAAGTGGAATTTCTTTAAGATATATACAAAAATAATACAAGACTGCAAATGGTATATGCCATCAGAGTTATGAAGAAACCACTAGGTTTGGAAGAGGTAAGAGTTCATTCATCTCAAGGTTTCCAGAAGCTCTATGAGGAGCTAATATGAGAGATGTAGCCAGCAAAGGTAATGGGATTTTGACATAAAGGAGAAAGTGAATGTTTGTGGAGTATTTTACTTCCCAGGTTTTTCTTCTCTCACTTCCATGGGTCATCATATCAGATTATGTTTGTCTCCTTACTAGTGGATAAAGGTTAAATTTGGGGTTCTCTGAGAATCAGATACGAAAACAGGGATAGATATGCAAGAGATTTATTTGTAAGGGCATACCTCCCTCCCTGTCCATGGGGACCATGATATACTACCTCGCAGAGCTCAGATACAGGAAGCAGAACATTTCCCAATCAGTCATTGTAAATGATGGAAACTGAAATCACATCTCCCATCCCTTGCTTCCCAGATACAAGTATCCTTCCTACTGGGGACACCATATAGAGGCTTTGATTTAATGGATGTGCTGCATCCCAAAAAAATAAGATCTCATTTTTGAAAATTAGTTCTCCAAAAGCTGGTGCATTGGCTGTATTTTCAGTCATTGTTTCAACTCTTATAAGACCAGCTGTTTCTGAATGGTCTGGCACGTTATATAAGTTGATGTCATGGGCATGAGCCCACTCCCACCCACTTGTCACTGGGAAGTGGGTTCCTTACTCAAATATTATGTTGTGTAATATCTCATGCCTGTGGATCGGGCATTTTGTAAGTCCCTGGATAGTGGTGCTTACTGAGGTTTTGTAAGCAGAAGTGGTAAACCTGTACTCGGAGTAGTTATCTATTCCTGTGAGGACAAACTGCTGGCATTTCAGTGATGGGATGGAAGAGGCTCAATGTAGTCAACTTATAACCAAGTGGCCAGTTGGTCTTCTTGATGAATAGTGCCATATTGGGAGTTCAATGCTGGTCTCTGCTGCTGGCATCTTAGACATTCAGAGGCAGCAGTAGCTAGATTGGCTTTTAAAAGTGTGAGGCCCCAAACCAAAGCTGTCATTGTAGAAATCTTGCATTGAGCAGGATTGGTCAACGGTCCCACTATGCCTACCATGCTCAGCTGCTGCCTAGAGGAAGTCCTGCAGAAGCACCGCCTAGTATGAACAATGTAGTAGAGCTAAAGGCTCATAAGCTAAAAGGGACTCAACAGCTCTATATCAAATGGCAAGTTTTCTTGATGAGAGATCTGAATGGGGCACTTCTGTGACTGCCACAATGACTTTATGCCACATGGCCTGTGGGTAGTAGGGAGAGGACAAGAGGACAAGCCAGAATAAAGACAGCAGATGGTTCCTTGTTTCTTGGCTTTGCTGGTGAACACCAATACTTGGAGCACCATATCTCAGCACTAACAACCTTTTCCCACCCTGTTCCCATCTAGATGTTGCCTACTTCAACAGCCTCTGCTGGCCTGAGGGACTTTCTGGAATTTGTAATATTTTCATTGTTCCGGACTTCCAATGATTGACTGAGCTGAATTATTTAAAAGGCCATGTGTACCTCCATTCTTAGACAAACCCAGAACTCTCCTACTTTTATTCTGACCTGGCCTTACTCCTGATCCCATGCAGACTCATATCTACCATCTATGACTAAAAGCATATTTGTGCCAAAGGAAGTAATTTGATATGGCTTGAGGGAGAAAGTGAGTGATAAAAATGTAAGGGTGAGCTACAGTTATGTTGTGGACACTCCGAGGTTGAGGTTCTTTGGCTTTCATTCTATTTATAAAGTCATGGAATATTAATAATGGTTTCAGTGAAAAAAATTGTACCACAGGCAAGAAATTATTATTGCACCTTACTGTAGAGGTAAAATACGAATGATGTCTCCCACTCTTTAAAAGAATATTAAGTATGAAATAAAATGTTTATCCTTGTATTACTTACTATTTTTTTAAAGGGCATCAGGGTAAATATCACTGTGTGATTCTGTGCAGGGTTTTGCTTCTGCTGCCCAGAATCATCTCTGCAGGTACAGCTCAGTTCTGTTGTCTAATTTCAAGAAAAGAATTGCTTGCCTTCTGATCCCAAGGAATTAGATTATTAGGTAAGAAAAACCATTAAACATATCAGGACTGACCAAAAGGCAAGGAGGGCTCTGGCATAGCCTATGGGTGATGCTGAACATAAACCAAAGGTACAGGTAATCTTCCATATGCTTTAAACTAATCTATATGTCTAATGTCTTTGAAACTAGATTAGATGCAATCATCTCAAATAAGTTGGTGTGATTACAGCATATTCAGTTACATCTATTCAGAAGCCATACTTTTTCTTTGATCAATTAAAGTTAGTAAAGGGAGATGTTAATTAGTGCCAGCCCTTTGAGAATGAAGAATATGAAGATTGATACAGCCTAGAATATTAGGTTTCAAATATCTCATTTGCCCCAAAGTATTTTTCCCATTGGTCTTCTAAAGGACCTGTCTCTTGAAAATCCAATTAGAAGTAAAATGTATTTTTTTTAAAGAGACATAAATATTACTCCAGTGTTTAGAAAGTCATCTCACTTCTGGGATACTATCCCAAGGAAATAATTTTAAGAAAGAAAAAAGTGGTCAAATACAAAAATGTTTTAGGAGTGTAGATATGTAACCAAATTCTCCAATCATCATTAGATAACAAGAGCTAACAGGGGCACCAGGATTGGTAAGAACTTGAAGTTGTTGGGGTCTTTTCCTTACCCTTTGGCAAATGTTCATCTCACAGGTATTTCTTGGCAACTTCAGAGGTGTGTCTCATTTTCCCACAAACAGTGGATGTTGCTCCTGCACTCCCTAGGCACTGCTATCTCCCATTTCCCATTAGATGCTACTGCTGTTATGAAACACACCATGCCTGTGAGTCTCCATGCCTTAAGCCACTGTTGGTTGTAAAATGATGGTAAATGTTCCAAAGCAATTTTGCCTTGTGACCTTAATACTTTACTGAGAAGTTGAGTGAAAGCAAAATTGTATTAGTTTTTACTTGTAGCCCTTTGCCTCTCAAATACATAAATAAGTCTACATGCTGGACTGGGTATATACAGATTTTAAATGGCAACCACCATTCTGAACTGAAAGTCAATGTTTCTGATTCTGGAATTTTGTTGCTGTGCTAAAATCTAAAATCATCATATTGTGCCTCCCTTCCAGCACTCCCTTTCCAGACAGGCTTCTGTCGGGCACAGAACATTGGTTAGCAAGACATGTCTAGAGCTATCTAAATTTCAGCTGAGGCTCAAAGTTTAATCTCTGCTACATTTTTATTACCAAAACTAAAATCAAACTGAGTTATCAGTAAATTATAAGAGAAAAATGCAATCAAATATGAATATTAAAAATGTTAAATGTTGCCGGGTGTGGTGGCTCACGCCTGTAATCCCAGTACTTTGGGAGGCCGAGGCGGGTGGATCACGAGGTCAAGAGATCAAGACCATCCTGGTCAACATGGTGAAACCCCGTCTCTACTAAAAATACAAAAAATTAGCTGGGCATGGTGGTGCATGCCTGTAATCCCAGCTACTCAGGAAGCTGAGGCAGGAGAATTGCCTGAACCCAGGAGGCAGAGGTTGCAGTAAGCCGAGATCGTGCCATTGCACTCCAGCCTGGGTAATGAGCGACACTCCGTCTCAAAAAAAAAAAAGTTAAATGTTAAATGATTACAAATATATGAGAAATACATAAAACTGTATAGACTCTCATGTTAAATATAAAAACATGATACTCTATATATGTTTTTATATGGCTGAGGATTATAGAGTGATATGTCAAGGTGAAGGGTTACAGAGTATATGTATGTCATTGTATGGTATATATATTTTTTAAATCATTATTTAGCAATCACAACTCATATATGCAGAGATTATAGTA